GACCTTTTTCACAGCAACCTTTTTGACGTGAAATAGTAGGGTAGACAGTAACTAGACTGAGGTGAATAAACAAACATTTTTATGAAAAGAGTAAAAGCTATTTACTTTAATTTTAGAAACAAAAAATACTCAAATGGGTCAGTTGAACACTCAAATAGACATTTTTCAAATTTTGACGTGAAATAGTAGGGTAAATTCAGGTGTTACCAGTGATACTAATTAAGGTTCTGTTCCATTTAGTGTCTCCGAGACTTTCCAGTGAGTCAACATGCACAATAGCAGCACCCTGACTCTGTTTGACCTAAACTGAACATTATTTAGCATCAGCTTTGAACACCTGAGTTTACCCTACTATTGAATGTCAAAATTGCTGCTGTGAAGAAGCTTTTACTCCTTTCATAAGAATGTTTGTTTATTCACCACAGTCTAGTTTCTGGCCTAAAAATGTTAGGAAACAGTAAAAAAAAATACCTGTAAATCCTAAGATGACTTCTTCTATCCAACTAATAGTCCAAAACAGAAAGATATTTAGGTTTATTCACATAAGAGACAGGAAAACAGCAAATCCTCACATTTGAGAAGCTAAAACAAGGGAATATTTGTAATTTTTGCCTGAAAAATTACTTTAATGATTAATCAATTATTAAAATTGCTGCCAATTAAGAGATGAATTCATTCATTCATTGAACTAATGAATTCATCAACAAGTTGTTTCAGCTCTACTGCATAAATAGCAACTGTTGTTCTTGGCAGACGCTTAAACATCTTCTAAAGTGAACAAGGGTCCACGAGTGAAGATCCTCTGCTATAGAAAATATTAGTTCTCTCTATCAAGCCAGAAGGAAATATTAAGTGTACAGTGCTCTATAGCACACTTACACACGCACACTCTATTAGTAACACTGCTAACATCAAGAAGGCATAAAGATCTCACTGTGACCGTCTCTAAATGCTCATCACGTTTGACATATTTCTCTCCACCATGATAGCCCATAAAGATACAATCACAAGAGCAAAGCATAGAAACATGAGAGGAAATCTGTCTATATTTAGAAACTGTAGTAATTAAAAAAAGATAATTAATTGTTGCTTCCAGCTCTCGTGTGTGCTGAGAGTAGCACAGAGAGTCATGGGTTTAAGGTGGAGATAATTAGATTTTTAGCTGTCCTCATGGTGGACAATTGAATTTGGCAACAGAAAAACAAGGATTGTTAACTGTGCATGCTTGCAGTTTAATATAATAATATGCAAATCTCTACTTCTTTTATCCACCACACAATATTAAATCATATAACCATCATGCTGTCCTTAAACCATCCTCAGTTGGAAGGGATATGATGCTTTTGTTTTACGGCTCAGAAACAAGGATTATAGCCAATTATGTCCATTCCTAACATATTTCTTCCAATGAGGTAAATTAATCTGAATTTTAAAGTATGTAGTGAATGTAAAGCCAACAGCCCAGCAGGATATAACGTGTACATTTGTGAGGTGGGAGGCAGATTTTGTTACATGTTGGACAGAGCCATGCTAGCTTTTCCCCTTGTTTCCAGTCTTTATGCTAGCCTAAGCTAACTGTCTCCTGGCTGTAGCTTTAAAAAGCAGTATCAATCTTCCTTATTTAACTTCCAGCAAGAAAAGCAAATAAGCTTACTTCCCAAAATGAAATACTATTGCTTTGAGTTGAGTATACTGTAGAGACTAACTAAAAACAAATATAATGTAAAAGTACAACATATAAGATCTTTAACTTTGATTTGTTCAGTCTATAATTAATTTTGCTGCAGTTGTTTTGCTTTAGTTCCCTCCCTCAGCCATCCTTCTCCTCAGGCTCCCAGTAAATCCTTTACATGCCTTGACAAAGAGAATACAGGATTATCTGACTATTGAATAAGCAGCTGGTTCATGTTCACACTCATCCAGTCATAACATAACAGAGAGAGAGAAGAGATGATTTTAGTTTCTCTCTGTCTGAATTATTAATATGTTGAACAGCAGGTAGAAACTGTGTTAATTCCAGTGACCTTCTGATGACCTTTACCTTAATGTGTCATCAATATGTCAAGAAAGTAAGTCCTTTAAAGTTTTCCTCCACTCAAAAATTCGTTTTTCTTCTTCTTCCTACAGAGGGATTTCTGTTTTAACTGTGCAGAATGATTTATGTGCAGAGTTTGACACTAGAAGGATGTTTCTCTGTGCCCACTGAAAATCTGATTTTAAGGGGCGGGGCCTATGAGCACCCACACAAATAGTTTGGAAGTCATCCTGGTCCCGTAATTAATTTATAAGCCTCCAGTGCACATACACTGAGAATGGATTTTACAGTGAAGTAGGAGGCATCTTGTCCAGCAGGAAAACTTAAGAAATGAACAACATTTGTATATTTATGGATTCTGGTATTTGTAATGAGGTAAAAGGAGTAGATGACTTTTGGGTGATTTTAATGTGGAAATTATACTTTTTTTGTGGAAAAGACACATCAGACACACATGATTATTCCAAGCAGACTATTTATATATATATATATGTCTTAATGCATGTCTTGCATTCTTTGATCTTTGAGTAACATGCAATCTGTTCACAGTGGCTCACCGTCATACACAATAGTAAAAAGTAAGCACAGTGAGAACATTTCAGGAAGGATTCTTGCAAATGA